ACATTTTTACTTGGCATGAAATTATCACAACTAGCATATTAAAAATATAGTGTATCCAAACAATTATTACAAACAGAATACCCACCCTCATGCAAAAACAAAACTGAAACTTTTTTATTTTCTTTTGACAATCGCACCTCCTAAAGGAAGAACTGCATCTTGTTCTTGCATTGGAGAGTTCAGTTTGTAACCTAGGACTTGCTTGTCCTCAGTGCACAGAAATTAGATCAATCTGATACCATATATATTTTTTAGAAATGAATTGGAAAATATTTGAACACCTTGTCTTAAAATATTTTACTCATCATGTTAAAATAAAACGTTCCATAATCAATTTTTTTCTTTTATTTTCTTTTTACAATTTTTTCAATTTTTCGGGAAAAAAAACCCAAAAAAGGCTTCAGGGGAAAAAATGGTTTTTTCCCGAATGTTCCAGTTTTTTTCCGGGCCTTCACATCTCTAGGCTAGAGGTCGTGGGGTGGAGCAGCAGTCCCCTGACACCACGCTCCAAAACCTACCACTGAGGTAGGATTGAAACCAGTCCAGAACAGTGCTTCCCAGTCCCAACCCTGAAGGATACCATGATTGATATTATCAAAAGCCACCAAGAGGTCCAGAAGAATTAACAGGGTCGCACTCCCCCCGTCCATCTTCCAGCACAGGTTATCCACCAGGGTAACCAATACTGAAACCAGAATGGAACAGATCCAAACAATCCACTTCGTTCAGGAATCCCTGAAGTTGCCTAGGCACTTTCCATGTTTTCTCAGCTTGACTTTCTGCTGGGGTTGGTGGGAATTATAGTTTTCTCAGCCTTCCGGTGGACTTCAAGGAGGCTGAGAAAATGTTAAGCTCTATCAGCTATGACAGGAAATCCTACTGGGTAAGTTTAGGAAGACTAATTCTTAACAAAGTAATTTGCAAGTAATCTGACGGCTCTCTTCGGTGCAGCCAGTATTTGTGTATATGCATTATGCATGTATGTATTCAGATATCTGTACCCTGATGTCAGATTCCTGGATAAATCAGTCCTTAACAGCATTCACTCTGGAGAATGATAAGTTTATTGAGACATTGATAGGATCCAGCCTGTACACTGGCTGTGTTAGAACTGAGGTTAAAGGCGCGAAAGCAATCAATATACAGGGTTCAAGCAAGGGCCCTAAAAGGTTCAGAACCAATCATCCCCTGGGATTTCACCCGCCAAATGTAACTGCCAGCCTCTTAGTGCCATCCCCCCAACAAGCAAGGATAGAAAGATGAGACTCAAGGCTACTAAAAGTTCTCAGGAAAGATAAGGTGCCTGGCACATCAAGGGCCTAGGAAGTAAAAGTGTTTTCGCTCTACATTCTTCCACGCCCCCCTCCCTGGTTACTGTGGCGAACGAGCTGTAAAATGCAAAATGAACAGCGAGTTTGACACCTGATTCACTTCGGTTTCCAGTGGGTACGCAAAGTGGTCCAAATCATTCACCCTTCCTCAATTGGATGTTCACAACAACCACCTTAACAGGGTGGTCAGACAAGACAGACAGACAGAGGCCCTTTATGCCTGCATAGCTCACTGCAGAGAACCTGAGCAGCCGAGCCTCTAACTCAGGCTTTGGATTTGTGTTCCTACCGCGTGCACCGTTCTTTTTTCTCTGTCATATCTATTCTGTAGAGTTTGACACCTGATTCACTTCGGTTTCCAGTGGGTACGCAAAGTGGTCCAAATCATTCACCCTTCCTCAATTGGATGTTCACAACAACCACCTTAACAGGGTGGTCAGACAGACAGACAGACAGACAGACAGACAGACAGACAGACAGACCCCCTTTCTGCCTGCATAGCTCACTGCAGGGAATCTGAGCAGCCGAGCCTCTAACCTAGGCTTTGGATTTGTGTTCCTACCGCGTGCACCGTTCTTTTTTCTCTGGCATATTTATTCTGTATTTTGTGTATGTTTTCTGCGGCTCCAACCAAAGCTCACAGTTTTTGCTTAATTGGGGAGGGAACATTACTTGTGACATGGGGGGGTGGCACCCAAAGGCTTTTTTTTAGCTTACACAACTGCCCTACTGCAGCTGCGCACTAGCGCCCAGGGAGCCCCTCCCATTTAAATCCTCCTTGTTCAGTTCCGTGAATGAAACTGACCAGAGCGGTTGCGGAGCTTCCTTTTCTTATTGCCATTCTCTGTTTTGTTATCAGCCCATGTGACAAATGTGAGAGAGTCGACCCAATGACAGTCTTTCCCTTCCTCCCCTCCCTCGCCCTCCCTCCCCCCTTCCAGAGCTTATCAATTTCATTCCAGGCTGCCAAAAAAAAACCCCTTTGGCAGTCAGTACTGGAATTGTACACCAATGAAGGAGGTAGGATAGCGGCTGAGCAGCTGCCCAGGTGCGCCTGGCTAAGTGTGGTGGGCAGGAAGGCAGGCAAGGGAAGGGAGGACCAGGTGAGCTGAGGAGGAGAAGCCGACACAGGGAAGCCACCACCAACTTGGCTGGCCGTGCGAGGGAGGGGGAACACTGCAGCCTCCCCCTTTCTCTCCTCTCCTCCCCACTCCCACCCCATTTGGCTTGCCACTGCTGGGCTCCCCCAGGCACGGGCAACCCATAGAGGGACCCGAGCTCGGTGATTGACTGGCTGGTCTGTCAGCCGATTTGTGCTTCATCTGTGGTGACCTCGATGTCGGCGGGGAGTGGCCTCCAGGGAGCAGGAAAAGGGAGGGGGGAAATCCGAGGGACTCTGTCTGCTTTTGAATTTTACCTTCAGCTTTGAGCCAGTCTGGTGTAGTGGTTAAGTGCGCGGACTCTAATCTGGGAGAACCGGGTTTGATTCCCCACTCCTCCACTTGCACCTGGCTGGATGACCTTGGGCAAGCCGTAGCTCTGATAAGAGCTGTTCTTGAAAAAGAGCCGTTTCTGTCAGACTTCTCTCAGCTCCACCTACCTCACAGGGTGTCTGTTGTGGGGAGGGGAAGGGGAAGGAGTTTGTAAGCCACTCTGAGACACCTTTGGGTAGTGAAGGGCGGGGTATAAATCCCATCTCTTCTTCTTCTTCTTGAAGCGAAGCGAGGGGAAAGACTGCCATAAAGGCACTTTGAGAAACCCTGGGAAAAACGCAAGCAGAAAGCAAACTGAGCACTGAAGGGGTGGGGGGAACAGTGCAGAACAAAAAAGAAAACCCAGTGGGCATGCATGGTGACAGTGGGGGAAAATGCAGAACAGCAAAAATCCCTCGACAGTGATGCACAGTGAAAGCGAGGGAAAAGACCAGTGCATAATTGACCAGAGAGAGAAAACAAGAAAGTGACTGGCCCAAGATCACCCAGTGGGCTTCCATGGCTTAGCCGGGTTTCAAACTCAGGTCTCCTGGATACTAGTCTAACCACTACACCATACTGGCACAAAAGTATTTGCATGTTTGCGAGCATTCCTGCCCGTTGGGCTCTTTTGAGTGATCAGCAGGGATGCTCGCAAACATGCAAATCATTTCACTCTGAGCAGGGACTGGTCTGCCCATTGCGAATTCTAGACCACACAGGTTCATCATTTGCATCACAGATGCAACACAGACATTTTAAGGCCATTTGCGGCAACAGCTGGAGGCGTTCATGGCAATTCAGTTTCTTTTGTCTTTCATTTCAGGAAGTGATTAGAAACTTGGTGAAGAGGTATGTCGCAGCAATGATAAGAAATTCTAAAACCAATGAGGGATTAACTGAAGAAAATTTTAAGGTAACTTATTATGTACCGTATAATGACCCCATTCCCGGCTAATCAGAAATACAGGAAAGATGGTACTAAAAACGTATGAAAATTGTGATCATTTGATCTGTTTTATAGGGTACACTGGAGACGTGGCTCCTGGGGAGCAGACTTCTAATATATTAAATGGACTTGCTAAATAATCATTAGGTTTTGGACTGAAGTTTTAATACAGATATTCAAATTTGAGGGAACGTCAGTAGACCAAGAGATTATATTACTGGTATATATGAAAAAATATCAACAGAAAAATAATGTCTTGCTTTGTATTGTGTCATCCCACCAGCAACACTATTAATTGCAGTATTTTGGAAATACAAAAGCGTTATTCAACATCTGGGGTACAACAAATACAGCAAAATTAACGTCCATAGGAAAGAGGGAACTGCAAGCTGGCTTAGATCCAGAGGTCACCTTTCCAGTTCTAAATCTATATATATTTCCATATCTATAGAGTAATTAATTAATCTACTGTACTGACAATGTAATAACTTCTCTTTTGCTATGTAATGTCTTAGGACTAAACTGGCTGTGACATTAAATACTTGGTTGTTGCCGACTGTGGCAGCCGCATATTTAGCCCTTTCTCTTCTGTATTATCCAGCAAAAAATTACCTTGTGTTTTACCATCATGCTGTATTACAGTTTCCTGCCTTTGTTCCACCTCTAGGCTTGCCATTTACCTACCAGCAGCTGGTAAACTCCTGCTCTAGGCCCCAATCGCCCACCCTTGAGAAACTGAGGAGCAGGAGAAAAGAGGCTGGAAAATGTCCTCCATTGTGACACTCTAGGAATTTCCCTTTTTCTCTATGGTCTTTACCACTGAGAGTAGGGGAACTGTTTATAGCATCATCTGGAAGTGATGTCACATACTCCCCAAACTCCACCCTTCCCTGGTCCCTCCCTCAAAATTTCCCAGCGTTTGTCAGGGTAATGCTGACAACCCAGTTTACACCACTGGAGATAAAAGGGAATTAGATAGGCAGGAGATAAAGGAGAATTAGATAGAGTCATGGAGGATAGGTCCCTCAGTGGCTACTAGCCATGGTGATTAAAGGCATCCTCCATGTTTAGAGGCAGTCAGCCTCTGAATCCCAGTGCCAAGAGGCAATGTCAGGGGAAGGCCTCGGCCTCTACGCCCTGTTGCTGTCTGTCCAGAGGAACTAGTTAGCCGCTGTTTGAGATGTTGGGTACCAGAGGAACTGGTTAGCCACTGTTTGAGATGTTGGGTTTGATGCCACAGATCCAGCAGGGCTCTTCTGATGTTCTTATGAGAGCACTGAATGCACAGCTGCTCTCGTTAGCCCATACCTTCAGCAGACTCTTCCTAAGAAACAGGACGACATCTGTGTTATGCGAACAGTGACACGGGATATGGGGATGAACTTTGTATTTATGGTTCTTCTAGGGTTTCCAGCTCCGAATTGGGGATCTCGTGGACCCCTGGGGCTGGAGTGAGAGCAGGGATTGGAGAGGGGCAGGGCTTCAGTTGGGTATGATGCCATAGAGTCCACCCTCCAAAGCCGCCGTTTTCTCCAGGGGAACTGATCTCCATTGGCTGGAGATCAGTTGTCATTCCAGGAGATCTCCAGGGCCTGCTTGAAGGCTGGCAAACCTAAGCTCTTCCCACTCACTGTGACTGGGAGATGGGGGGAAGGCCCCAAGGAGTTGTGGCCCTGCCAAGGGCTGGCCAAGGAAGGATCCGCATAGTTCAGATGCTGCAGCAGGCCCGTAGCTACACTAAAGCCTGTTGGGGCCCAGCCCCCCCGACTTACCACCAAGGCCCCCCCAACATCCCACCCAGCCTAGGTCCCCCAACTTCCAATTTTTAATTTTACTTATTGCACTCGTTGCCGCCACTGGGACGCCTCGTGCCGCCCTCTCTTGCCTGCCGCTCTCTCTCGGCAAGGCAAGCCCCATGCCCTCTCGCCCTCCAATCCCACACCACTGCTCTTCCTTGTTTTTTGCCAGCCAGCAAGGCGAGGCCTGCCTCCAATCTCACACTGCTGCTGCTGCCCTCTCTTGCCTCTCTTCAGCTGGCCAGTCAAGCCCTGTGGATTGGATTATCCCATGCTGCTGCTCAGCTCTCTCTCTCATCACTCACTGGCCAGCAAGGCAAGCCCCGCCCGCCTTCATCCCTCCAATTCCCAAGCCGGCAAAGCAAGTGCTGCACTGCCCAATCCCTCCCTCGGCTTTGGAGCCCATGATTTTACTTCCGTTCCTCTTTCCCCCCCCCTTTCCCTTTTTATCTGCAGGGCTCAGCTCTGACTCTAGGGTTGCCAAACCCGCCGGTTTGCCAGGGGTCCCCCGTTTTGGGGGGGTTCTACCCGCCGCCGGCCAGATGGCCGCCAGGGGAAGCCCCACCCCCAACACCCAACACCCACAGCCACCCATCTCTCTCCCTTTAAGTGTGTGGAACCCGTGTTTCCTCCCAAGCCCAATCTCTGCAAGCTTGCAGGGAAATGCCAGCTTCGTGCTCTTAAAAGGGAAATGCGGCTGCTCTTAAAGGGGAAACACCGGCTCCTGCATTTAAAAGGGAAGTGCCGGCTCCTTTAAGTGCAGAGAACTGCCGTTTCTGGAGATCTGGCGCACGGGCAGGGGGGGCAGCAGACGTCCCCAACGTGACGTCATCATGTCGGGATGCCCCACTCCCTCCAGGAACACCCCCAAAGTCCCCCGCTGGGGGTGGAAGATGGACTTGGCAACCCTATCTGCCTCCCATCTTTGAATAATTACATTATTTAAATTAGCCAATGCCAAGTGCCCCCCAAGAAATTTAACTGCCCCCCCACTTTGAAATTCCTGGCTACGGGCCTGCGCTACAGTGCTTCTGCCTGCATGGATTCTGATAGTGGACCTGTGTGAGTGAGAATTTTACGAGCCTAGAAACCACTGCAGGCCCCTGCCTGGGTACAGCTCAAGCGCCTCCCCCCACCCCAACTTCCCCGCTCATTGGCCAGGGCATTTATTTAGGCATCTGAAATTATATTCGGTTCCTTCAGCATGGTTTGTTGTAAGCTCCTTTAGACAAAGTAAAATGAGCATAAAGGTATCAAAGACCCATAATAAAAGCAAACAGTATACACACACCCAATAGGCCATTTCAACAGGGGGGAAAGGTAAACAACATGAGCCATAGGTTAGTACAAGACTCGTCCTTACCCTTGGAAACAGGGTAGATTTGCACACTTAGAAGAGCAGTGACATTTTGGACTTCTTCTGGAAGCCTGTTCCATGACATCAAAGTTGTAAGAGAACATGCAAAGCCATCTAACATACGGCAGAACGGACGGGCAACCAGAAGAGATTGTTGGGCGGGTCTCATTTGGCAGTGTGCTGGCTCTGTCATTGGAAAGTGAACACGTCCCCCGAAACGACAACTGCCTGCTATCAACTTCAAGAGGAAAGCTGATGTTTCTGCACCCTTTATCCTTGGAGTAATGCATTTTGGGGGGGTCCCCTTTTTAATAAGTTCCCCTTTTAGACAGGATCTGTCTCCTCCCTTCACTCTGTTTTCAATCCTTATTAATTCTTTGGCTATCAAGTCATTATACTGCCCTTCCACCCAGGATCGCAGGGGAGTAGACTTTCATTTTATCCTCACAACAACCCTGTGAGGTAGGTTAGGCTGAGAAAAAGCAACAGGCACAACGTTGCCTGAGTCGGAATTTGAACCTGGGTCACACCACCTCTAGCTGGCCAGGCTGAGTGTTATTAGAGCAGCCAGTAACACACCAGTAGCAAATTAACATTGTTGTTGTTCAGTCGCACAGTCAAGTCCGACTCTTCGTGACCCCATGGACCACATCACGCCAGGCTTTTGTTATTTTGGTTGGTGTTAACTAAAGGTCCTTAATTGAATGTGGCTACTGATGTTCTTAATCTAGCAAGGCTTTGCCTTTAATGCACAGAAATGATCCCATTTCTCTTTCTAACGAATGAAATATTTATTTGCAACTCTCGTACACCACGATCCGTAATAATCCATTTGCATAATGTCGAATGCTTCTCTCAGGAGAGTGTAATCTTTTTTTTCTTGGTCACAGGTAAAGCTTTAGCATTTAACTCGTTTTTTTCCCCTCCCTCTCTCTGAACTCAGGAATTAAAGCAGGACATCTCCAGTTTCCGTTACGAAGTCCTTGATCTCTTGGGCAACCGAAAACCCCAGAGGAGAAGTTACTCCACCAGCAGCACGGAGGTCTCGCAGAAGGACGAAGGCCACGAGGAGTGTGCCGGAGAAACCTCCAAAGCCAGGAGTGTCTCTTTTGGGGTTTCCAACAAAAAGAAAGACTTCAACGTTTCTGCTCTGATTAAGACCATGGGGGGCGTGGATATGGTGACGGAGAAACCCAAGAGCAACGGGATCAGTAAGCGCTCGTTTGTTCGCAACGGGAATCGGGTCCAAAGGCTCTCCAGCTCCAAGAAAGAGTCTTTCAAGAGACTGGGTCTCCTGTTCACCAAGATGAACGGTCATCTAGCCGAACCCAGTTCGGAGCCCATGTACACAATTTCGGATGGGGTCATCCAGCCGCATTACATGTGGCAAGACGTTAAATACTCTCAGATGGCAAAGGAGCGAGACGAGAACTGTTCCAAAAGTGAAATTAACCTCAATGAGGTGGAATACAGTAGGAACAGCAGGCATACGGGGCAGGGACCGTGCCCCGCGGTCTGCACCAGCTCCCTTCACTGTGCTTCCAGCATTTGCTCCTCAAACTCCAAACTCATAGACTCCTCCGAGGATGTTTTTGACTCATGGGGAGATGCGTGTGACATTTTTAGGAACCAATGGAAAGACGGGCAGGAGGAACACGTTACCACTCGCCTATAAGTAGAGCTATTCAGTAACTTGCTGTAGACCATAACTAAATACTGGAAACTGTTTGCTATCACGGACTCTCCATAGCTAGGACTCCTCTTTCCCCCCTCTTTTTGTCTCCACTGATGGGCATAAACCTCAGATTGTTCTAGCCTATTTTGTAGCCACTGCGCTCCAGTCCTCTTTCTTAATTTGCTTCCTTTAAACTCACACACACCAGACCTTTTGTTAGAAACAGCCCAGATTGTTTTAAGATAAGGTTCCATGTCATACTCCCTTACATTCGTTTCATATTTCCGACACTTTTCTCTCTCTCGTTTCTCCTTCTGCCAGCCCTATAGGATTCCTCTATTTTTGTTACATAGCATCGGAGAACCTCTCGAGCGCTGCCGCCTCCCCTTGATCAGCAGGTCCGCTTGACACCATTTTGGTATTCCATCTTTCGGCCATTTACCGCTCTCGAGAACTGGAAGACTCCCAGTGATGTAGCTGGAGGCTAAGAGACAAGCTGAGGCTACCGTCTGGGAGAAGGATTCCGCTACAAATGGCCTTTTCGCTTTCAAGCAATACAAACCCCCTCTATGATTTCAACTGTGTTTTCCTTTTCTGGAGGTTGCGTAATTGTTTTCTTAATGTAAATTATTACCACAATGAGTTAAAAGTTGAGTTCTGGAATTTGTATCTGGTCTCTCTCTTTTCTTTTCTTTTAAATAACGTTATCCTGCTGTATATCTTTACCTCCCCACCAGTTGGAAGACTCTCTGATCTGTAGCAGCTGCTGACTGCCCCAAGGGATTGTATGCAGCTTTTTATTCTTCGTTTATTTAAAACATTTTTATGCCGCCTTTCCAGCTGATCAGGGTCCACAAGGCAGTGAACATAGAAAACGTTGAAACATTTGAGTAATTAAAAATGCAGTTGAATTTATAAAATAATTCAATTAAAAACCTATTGACAATACTAGAAGGAGGGCCAGTAACTGTCACTGGGGGTATGCCGAACAAAATAAAAAGGTCTTTCTTCACCTGCTGGTGAAAGACACCGATAGAGGGAGACAGTCGAAATCTCTCTTGTGAGGGAGTTCCAAAGTTCTGGTGCCACAACTGAAAAGGCCCTTCCTTGGATGGTAGAGGCCCTCCATCCCATAATCTTGACCTTATATGATACAAACAACGAGTCTGTACACTGAGTCAATGAAAACACCTGGGTCACAGGTCCCTTTATGAGTGTTGGAGAGGTGAATAGAGTTTTGCAGTTTCAGTTGTTTCTCTGGGTTTTATGCACTTAAACCTGCCAACTGTAGAGCTAGTACCTTTTCTTATGGTCTAGAGCACATGGTTTTCTTAAACAGCACCAGGACCCCTCTTTGTGGAAGATCAACTATGCAAAGGGTTGCTAACCTCCAGGTGGGGACTGCAGATCTCTTGGAATTACAACTGATTTCCAGTTGACAGAGATCATTTCCTCTGGAGAAAATGGCTGCTTTGGAGGGTAGACTCTGTGGCATAGTCTCTCCCCAAACCCCACCTTCCCCAGACTCCACCCATAAACTCTACAGGTATTTCCACACCTGGAGTTGGCAACCCGAATTATATGCAAACAAGACATAGATGGACTCTCAGTATTGGGTTGGATGTAGACTGAAGGTGCTTTCAATGCACTTTAGCAATCAATTGCAAGTGGATTTTCCACGTGAAATGATTGCTAAAGGATATTGAAAGTGCTCTATCCAATGTGCATGAAAGCATCCTAAATTTTCCACACTTCAATCCTCAGAACAGAACTTTCTCAACCCCCCCCGAACTGCAGCCCCTTGATCAGCTGGAAGGCAGCTTTGGATGGCATCAGGTCACCTGTTCCTTGCAAACAGTCAAGGTTCCCGCCAGTTAATCAGCTGCCTGATCACCACTGGCAAAGAGGAAGCGCGTCAAACTGGCAAGTGTTCGAGCTCAGCCCAAATCTGGGTAGTGGCTCTGAATTCTTGGGGGAGGTGTAAGTTGTACAAACGGCTCCACTAAGTAATAAAGTTGCCCCATTATAGCACTAAGCACTTCCACAGTTCTGAAGCACATGTAAAGGTAAAGGTTCCCTTGCTCGAAAGCCAGTCGAGTCCGACTCTAGAGTTGCGGTGCTCATCTCCGTTTCAAAGCCAAAGTGCCAGCGCTGTCCGAAGACGTTTCCGTGGTCACGTGGCCAGCATGACTAAACACCAAGGCACACGGAACGCTGTTACCTTCCCACCGAAGTGGTACCTATTGATCTACTTACAATGTCTTGCTTTCGAACTGCTAGGTTGGCAGGAGCTGGAACTAGAGACGGGAGCTCACTCCTTCATGCGGCAACCCGGGTCTCGAACTGCTGAACTACTGACCTTCCACAGCCTGCAGTTCAGCGTCTTAACCACTTGAGCCACCGCAGCTCCTGAAGCACATGTGCTCATGCACAAAACCCAAAAGAGAAGAAGTCATTTCAGATCGAGACATCTCTGGATTTCTTGTGACTTGAATGCATTTTCTATTCAAAGTTTTGGCCAAACCTTTGACATTGGCTTGTGTTAAGAACAGTTAAGGCCTCCAGAAATGGGATAAAACTCCTTCAGGCCCTGGGTGCAGCCCAAAGATAACCAGCTGGCCGTCCCTGGCCTAAGCCCAAGTGGTACAGTGGTTAGAACATCAGAGGAGGATCTGAGAGATGCCTACTCTGCTGTGGAAACTTGCTGGGGGGACTCAAGGACAGTCTCTCTCTCTTTCTGAACCTAATCTACCTCACAGGGTTGTTGTGAGGATAAGATGGAGGCGAGGAGAACTATGTAAGCTCTTTGGGGGCCCCATTGGGTAGAAAGGTGAGGTATTAATGGATTCAATAAATACTTGTTCAGTTCCCCTGAACTCACTCTCTTCGCCCTGAATCAAACATTTCCCCTTTGACTGAACAGGTGGGAATGCATTTGCATCTCACTGCTGTGCCTGGAGTTGCCAGGTTTCCCGCTATACAGGAAACCTCCCACGGGCAGCCTCCACGGGGACCCACTGCCACCCGTCGTTAAGGTGGCGCAGGGGTGTGTGAAAGAAAATTGTTGTCACTCTGATGATGACACAACGCCACTTCTCGCATTATCATGGAAGGGATGTTATCATATCAGGGCGACACTCTACGATTTTACTGAAATTCTATGATAAAGCCATCAGATTTCAGCGGCATCGTAGAACATCATCCCAGTTTGACGGCATCACTTCCAAGTAGGGGTCCCATCCCTCCATTTGGGGAAGGACATCCCTCACCCCCCTGCTCCCATTGCCCACCACCACTCTTAAGCAGTGGGAGAAATTTTTTTAAAAAACCCTCATCATGTGCAGTGTCACATCACTTTCCCCCACCTGAAAGAGAAGCAATATAGGTAGCTCTAGGAATTGCTGGGAACTCTATGGTAAGGCCATGGCATTTTGCAACGATTCCTGGTATTGATATTGGAAGTGGATTGGGGAAATTCCAATTGCAATCCAACCAACAATGCCATGTCACTTCTGGGGTGAAATTGAAAGTTTTTTTAAAAAAACCCTCATCATGTGCAGTGTCACGTCACTTTCCCCCACCCGAAAGAGAAGCGATATAGGTAGCTCTAGGAATTGCTGGAAACTCTATGGTAAAACCATAGCGTTTGCAACGATTCCTAGAGTGTTTTGTTGTTTTTTTTACTGGAAGTGACATGGTGCCACAGCCAGCGTCACACACACTCCTTTATCCCCGCCCACAGCCCTCCCGCTGTTTGCTGGGCACTGCCGGGCAAGCCAACTTTCAGGTTCACCCCAGAAGAGACATTGCACTGTTGGATTGATGTCAATTTGAATTTTCCCAACACACCTGAGCATCCCACCAATGGCCACTGCTCTGTTGGCAACCCTACCTGTGCCTGAGGATCTGTGTGGCACATTCATCAGCATCACCCTCAGAGCGGCCCAGTAGTGACTGAAGAGGGTCTCCTCACGCAGACCTCTGAATGCCAGTTCTGGAAGGCAGCATCAGGGGAAGGCCTCAGCCTCTGTTTGTTTGGGCCTCCGGGGCAATTGGTTGGCTGCTGGCTTAGGGGAACCAGTGGTCTGATCCAGCAGGCTGCTTTTATTTATTTATTTATTTATTTTATTTTATTTATACCCCGCCCATCCTGCGAGCAGGCTCAGGGCGGCTAACAAAGCGGTACCATGTACCCAATTGGCGTACCATAAAAGTCTTAAAACTCTATAAAATCACATAAAACATATTCAATTCAAAACATAATTAACAATTAACAGTAAAGTGCATACAATACTAAAAATTCGATGGCGTGCATTCCGGCTCTCAATCTGCGTTTTTCTTCTAATCGTCATCCCTCGCGCCGATGGACCCGGCAATATGTCTGGGCTAGACCTAGGATCCAAGCATTCACTAGGATTGTTGATGGTAACAGTAGTGGCGGCCCGCAGGGCCCTGATCTCCTCCGGGAGCTCGTTCCACCAGTAAGGAGCTGCCACAGAAAAAGCTCTGGCCCTGGTATTGGTTTTTAATACCACCCCCACTCCAAGACAAGGGAAATCATTAGAACTGAGCTTATTCTCAGGCGAGCTGAAACTTACTTACTTACTTACTTCCTCCTCTGCCCTGACTTCACAATCCATGTTGTATCACAGTTGTCCTGCCTCTTCATTGGAAGGCCAATTTCTGCTGGCGTCCATCTCTGGATCCTCCTCCTTCCAAGACTCAAAAAGGGACCAGTTCTAGAACCCAAGGTCTTTTGTTCTGAACTTGCTATCCCACTGCTGGGCGGACTTCCGCCCCAACCCCCACCCTCTAGCACAGACTTCAGCCCAGCCTTCCATCCCAGGATATGCCATCTTTAAAGACCCGGCTTGCTGTGTGGTCTCATGCAGCAGAAATGCCAGTTTCCGGGGCACAATGCCTCCAAAATCGGCTTGTGGGCGATTGCCCTTTGGCCTCCATTTCATAGACTCAGGAAATTGAAGCCTGTTTCCAGCGCG